TAACAACAACTTATATCATAAAGTTATTCAAAGATCTTCTAAAAATTGAACTAGTTGAGAGTGACCTCAACAACATATTTCCTTTGGGGAGAACGTTTAATTGTCCTGTGAAAGTTGAATTCANCTCAGTTGTTAATCGACATATAAACCGGAAAATTTTGTGGGATACTTGGGAGATGATTTACATTTATAATATATAATTTTCAATAAAAAACTAAATTTGCTTGAATGAGCCCATTAGCGAGCGAGATTTTGTCTGAAAACTGTTTTGCATTTCAATGCAATTATAGGATACCGATTATTTAATTAACTTTATGAACGAGGTTTTACTTGAAACTAAATCCCAAAGCACTCGAAACTCTGTATCCACTGTACAATACCAGATAACTTTTTTTGACAACATATTACGTAATTACATATTGACACCTAACACAAATTCTTGTAGCAACTCATGAAAATAAAGAAAATCAAATCATTTTGCATGGCCTGTATCTGGGTCGACGGGCACTATATAGATCAAAATTATTTAATCAGGTGCACATGACCCGGAACTGGACCATGCACAATATAAAAAAAAACATGTATTGGATTTTTTGTGTGAAATCTTTATATACATAAGGAATTTGTCACAAAAAATTATGAACAAGCACATCGCTATTCATGAGAGTACACTCAAAATATGCGCAAACTGTTGAGAAGTGGTTTTCGGTATATCCATGAGATTCAGGAATTAAACTGACGGTAGATCTTCTGTCCATCTTTTCCTCAAATCCTTCATCATATTTACTCACTCAATATATGACAAGTTTCACTTTGCCAAATATGTTTTCAGAGTGTCTCCCCTGAGGTTTTCCATCGTAGTACTTCACTTTTCACAATTTCTTCCAAGCTTGACTTTGAAAACTGCTTATATAATTCCCTAAGACGTTCACTCTGGTTCTCATCATCTTCTTCATCCTCACTATCGGTGAAAATAACATATTCGCATTCATTTTCTTCAATTTCGTCAAATTCAATGTTTTCATTCAAGCAGTCCTTAAAGCATTCCGATTTTGCCTCTTTCAATTCTTCGTACTCTTCCTTGTGAATAATCTTTTCCATAGGTATGTCGCAATAAACACAGAAAATGTTATTTTGTTCCTTCTTCACTTCTTTGTGACCTAAAGCTTTGCAATGAGGGCACTTGTACAAAGGAATTATGGATATCGGCATCATCGTTATCGAGCAACGGCTGTCCACATGAGGAGGTAAACACGAAGGGCCTAAAATCTGTACTGAGGAGTTAAGAAAAGTCAAAGATATATATGAAAACAGATTTTCAAAGTTGTCTGCACTACCATATCAAGAACAAATATTTATAATTTGCCGCCCAACATGGGGCACATGATGGGCAAATGTTGGGATATATATGAAAAAAATTGTACTTTACGTGATCAAGAATAAAGTTGTATTAAATATTTAAAGACGTATAAAAACGTAATAATTTTCAGTATCTGGATTGTTTAGATAATTTCCTAAAGTTTAAGTGACTTGACACATTTGATTCCACCAAGAGCGGTACATATCAGAAATACGCGATGGCTGCTCATCGTTAAGAGGTTTAACTCAGTACACCTCGAACTTCACTGTTCAAGAAATAGTTTCATTTGGAGAACGTTTATGTGGAATAAACTTCCTGAGAACGTTTATCCAAATGGATTTATTCTCCAGCAATTCAAATCCAATGTGACATACTTTCGCACAGGCACCGCTCTTAGAGCGCCTTAAGGATTTTCTCATGGTGCTTGTCTTATGAAAAAACCGACCGTTAGATGAAACACAGCCTAAACAATCGATTTTTACTACCTATCGTTCAAATCATGTTAATAATAATACGTTAAAAGGCAAGACCTCGTTAATCCTTGTCTTACACAAGTCTCAACATTTGAGGGAAAAAACAATTTTCCTCAAAGAGATTCTGAAAGTTTTATACTTTTGATAGCTTTTGGACTTCAGTATTTTCATTCACCTGAAGAAAGATATTCAATAATCAAAGATTAAATTTGACAAGAAAATCGAGAGTCCCAAGAGAATTCCTTTTCTTGATCATTTTATATCATAGCAGCCAGATCTCCCCAAAGATTCAAATGAATGAAGTATCAAAATAGTTTCTTTTATCTATCTGGTTAATTAAAAAACTGTGAATGATGTAGAATTTACAAAACTTGAAAAAAATTTGTTGGTGACAACCGCTGAACAATTCCGAAATGAAGACTTCGAATATTTCCAATATGTTCGAAATTTGTTTATAAAAAGGATATTTTCTCCACACCAGATGCAGTCCATAGGTTCTGGATATTTGAGTTCATTTGCTAATTCCATAACGCTCATTATATCTTCGATAAAAGTATTTCCCACATTAGACTTCGGCAGGATATCTTTCACAACCATTTCTTTCAAGAAAATATTCTGAATGAACATACTCCTCATCTGAAATTCTGAAAGTTTCTGTCCCGAACTGAGCAACTTCAGTAAACGTCTCATTCTGTTGACAACAAGTTTAATTTCAACCAAATAATGCAACAGTACATACGGTTTCAAATCGTAGCTCTTGACTATTCGGACTTTTTTGAAAACCATTTCAGATAACTTTGCAATGACTCTAAGGGTTTTGAGTTTCGGTAACGATAGCGTATCATAATTTAAGTCAGAAGGAAGTCCGAGAAATGGAAAGTACTTCTCCTTCAAGCAGTTCAACCTAAAACAAGAAGAATATAGTTTTATGGTGATAATAATCTTTATCAATTCCAAGAAACAAAAATGTTTATAACAGAGATAATATTCAAATAGTAATTAAATATAAATAAATTATTTGAATACTGAAGAAAAGAGAATTGAAACTTTCTATGGTTTTTACCANCAAACTGAATAGAAACGTTTTTTGTATACTTCAATGTTCATATAAAAGTAGCTGTTTCGAAAGTATTTTTTCTTAACTTTAATTCAGTGTTTATATGAAAGTAGTTGTTTCAAGAGGGCTTTTTCTTTCAGTTTGTATTTGAAAGTTAGTTCTTCGCATGATCTACACATCTTTTTAAGGAGTTTATTCTGAAATCAATTGCTTTTTTTACTTTCTTTAGAAGATTCCCACATGTTTTTGTGTAAAGATGGAGATGTAGAATACCAAAACTTTTCTTTCCCAAAAACTAGTCTTGTTTTTCACCAACAGTTTTTTGTTTGAACCGAGAATTTAAGATTCTTTCCTTATAAAATTTTGAAAAGTATAATGTGTAGTACAGAAGTTTGAAAGAAAGTGAAAAAAAATTCAAAGATTTTTTCAAAGTACATTTTTTTGACTTCCTTTCAAACTTTTGTACTACACATAGGTTTCTACAGTGTATAATGAACTAATATATACATTATACAAGTTGCCAAAATAAAAGTTTTTAAAATTGTCTGTCATAGAGTGATGATTTACATTGATATTTCACTAATGCACAAATCTTACCTGAGTACCTCGAAACAATCCCAGAAATGTTCCAAACTGCCGGTTTCGTTATTCCACAGCAATTCAAGTGGGCTTACCAGAGTGTTATGATAAATGAAGATATTCACGTACGCCAGTGTTTTTCCGAAATTTTTCAATTCCAAAGGATAAGCCAACACTCCACATATTACCGAGTTTCTTGAGAAAAATAAACCATGCAATCGGTATTTGACTGCATCGAATTTCAAAGTTATTATTTTCTCCTCGAGAGAAATGTGCTCTTCTTGGATGGACAATGTTAGCTGTGTAAGCATCCCTTTTATAGAAAGTACAAATATTTTGTTTTTGATATGGTGTATTCCTGAAATGGGAAACATCATTACTACATTAGGAGAAAACATTCAAAATAATGATATTTTTATAAACTTTATATATAATTATATACAGGATGTTGCATAATTGAATGCTGATCTTGGAGGGCGATAATCATGACCAGCGACGAGACCTGGGGAGTAGGCAGATTGAGACCCCGGCGTCAAGTCACAAAACCTTACAGCGTGTCACTATATGAGAGGTAGGCAGATTGAGACCCTGGTGTCAAGTCACAAAACCTAAAAGCGTGTCACTACTTGAGAAGTAGGCAGATTGAGACCCCGGCGTCATGTCTCAAAACCTTACAGCATGTCAGTACTCAAAGAGTAGGCAGTGTAGGCACTATCCAGTAAAGTCACAGCTTCTTGACTAGTTTGAGGTGAACTGAGTTGAACCTCAAAACGACGAGCAGCCATAGTCCGTCGCATATTTCTCATATGTACCGCTCTTGGTGAAATCAAGTGTGCCAAGTCACTTGAACACTTCCCGTGAAAGTATATATAGAAGAGAGGCAAATCTCCAACTTTTCTTCGATGTTCCAGACTATCAAGGTTGTGAGTGATGTTCGCGTCTCCAATCAGGCGGATGGCTCTTCTCTGGATGGAATCCAGCAGCTTCAGTGTATGCTTAGGGGCGGAGCTCCATACATGAAAACAATACTCCAAAGGAAGTCTGAGCTGAGCTTTATTATTCTAAAGGCATGTATATATTCCAAGAATATTCTATGAATATTTGGAATATATACGTTCGTTTTATGATATACAGGGAATATTCCATGAATATCAAGTGCTGTGTGGGATGGAAAGTTCTTTTTTTTAGTTTTCAAAAACCGCTATGAGAGAAGTTTTTGGGGATACAAATGAGTTTTCAGAGCAATGTTCAATGGTTCTCTTGGGCTTAACGTAAATCCTGTCAATAATAGGTATAGAATTAAAATGTACAACACATCCCCTAAAATCGATAGGTATACATGTTTGCCCGTATTCATGAAAACTCTTGAACCCGAAATTCCACCAAACCTACCCTATGAATCAGCTTAGCAGCACTTTTTTTATACATCCACAAAACCAATGTTTCTTTTCCATGTCTGAGGCTGATAGTATACTTAATTTACAAAAAACTTTGACCTAACTGAACCACTGAATATGTATTTTTGTTACAGGCATTTTGGAAGATCAAGTTGATGGCGGAAAGTAAACTGTCAGGCAGAGTGCAAGAAATCTACTGAGCAAAACAATTTTGTTGAAAACTCAACAACAAATGCATAATTCCCAACAGAAGCGTTTAGCATTCATTTTTCTTCTGACCAAAGAAACCACATGGTACCAAAAAAGAGTAAACTGATTAAGAAAGTGATAAATGCAAATTTCCTTTAGTCCAATGGATTTAGGCAGAATTGCAGATTGGTTAATAAACTTAGTGTGCACTTTCAGTGCGTAATTTTTGACATTTGAATTATTGTTATGTTATGTGTGATAATAGTCAAGATGAAACAAAAATTTGTAAGCATTGCGGAAAAAGGGTGAAGCTCTCCTTTGAATGTGAGTTTTGTCACGCATACTTTCATCATTGCTGTGCGCAGCAGGCTAAGGTTGTATGTCAGCGAGACAGTAAAGAGTACGTAAATTGTGGTCAACCGATATCCAAGAACGTAAGAAGCGTAGCAAAAATATTATAATAACAAATGTAGGTGAGTCAACAAAAACCGATAAGACACATTTTACTTTCAGATATTCAACTGCTTGATCTTAACGTTAAGGTATTTAAACTAGGAAAATTTGATCCAAATAAAATAAAATTAGTGAAAGTGATATTTAATACAGAAAATGATGCAAAGCAAGTTTTTTTCAATAAGAATAAATTGCCAGGTAATGTTAAGGTGTTTTTTGATCAAACAAAGATTCAAAGGGATTATTACAAGCATGTTAAAGATAAACTTAAAGAGATGGTAGAAAATGGTGATACTTCTAAAACTATAAAATATGTGAACTCTGTCCCTAAAATTGTTAATTTAAAAAACAAGTAGAGCCTAATATTCAGAATCGTTATGTCAGTTCTCCTAGTTTTGATCAACATATTATATATTCAAATGTTAGTAGTTTTTTAGCTCACAAGGCTGATATATTTTTGAACATTATTTGTTATAAGCCTTATGTAATTGTTCTTAGTGAAACATGTATCACTGAAGAGATAGATGATGCTGAACTTTATATTGAAAGGTATCAGATGTTTAGATGTAATAGCACAAGTCGTTATACGGGTGGAGTTTTAATTTTTGTAAGGGAAGATGTTGAAGTTAAGTCAAGTAAAACTCATATAACTGACATGGTTTATTGGTGTCTGTTCATAAAAATCAAAATAGGTAATAATATATGGAACATTGGGGGTCTTTATAGGTCTCCAAGTTCCAGTAAGCCTGTTTTTATTGATGCTCTGGAGGATGTGATAGAAAAACATTTTTCTGATGGTAAAAGATGTTTATTGATTGGTGATTTTAATTTCAATTTTTTTAGTAATGAATATTATGAGCAAAAAATAAAAACACTATTTAATATGTATGGGTTAGATCAAGTTGTTCAAGATTATACGAGATGTTGTGGTNTATATACATCAAGAGAAAAATGGGACCCAGTATTGAACCTTGTGATACGTCATTTTTTATTTCGTCTTCTGATGAGGATGAAGAGGTTTTCACAATCTGAGACACAAACATGATGAAATTTCTTATGCGATAACAGATCATTAACTAATTATAGACTAGTAAGTGAATACTACCATGTAATACTGTGACAAAGTTTGTAAAATATGAAATAGGAAAAAAATGTACCACCACTAACTTACCTGAAACAAATAAACCTTTTATATTAAAATATTTACGATCAAAAAACTTCCCTCTACCATCAACTCCATAAACAATCAAAGTTCCTTCTTTGGCCGTTATAATGTAAGTATTATTCTCGTAAATCATGACAGTAATTTTTTCGAATGGTACAGTATCTGGTTCAGTGTAGAGGAATTGTTCCTGGTTGAATTGCACTTTATCCTTATCCAAATCTGATACATGTACAAAATTCAATTTACCTTCAGCATTGGAAAAAAATAATACACCTTCTGAAATAGAATGAATCGTATTGATAAAAAAACTTATTCGTGAAATTTTGCATAAATAAATTACCGGATTATATCAATATGAATGATGGTATTGTTTTTTCTTTAATAATGAAAACAATGCTTACCATATTCGTCAGTTTCATGCCAGTACATTTTTGTAATCAATTCTAACTGGGTACGGTACTTTCCCAAGAAAAGTGGTTTGGAAGTAATATTTGGGTCAGCATCCCTTTCTAGAACCAACCATGCCAATATGTGTTTGTTCTTCACAGCAGAAAAAATAACTGCTGCACATTTTTTATCAACTTTCAGTAAATGGCTCCATGCAAATGCTGCAAGAAAAATACAATATAATTTAAACAAAAATAGTTAACAGGGTTATCTACAACAATGTAAATTGAGAGGAGTGTATTTGTAGAAGAGATTACTTTTCAAAAAATTGATGGAAGTAGCCGTTACCACATGGTAGATCATCATGAAATATTGCTGTATTTTTAGACTTAAAAAGAGCTTTTGAGACAATTGATAGAGAAATTATGTTGTTTAAATTGGCTCAGTATGGGATTGATGGAAAGGTGATAGAATGGTTCAGTGATTATTTGAACAATAGAAAACAGAAAGTCCGTTTTAAAGATGGACTATCAAATGAAAAAGACATTGATGTAGGTGTTCCCCAAGGTAGCGTTCTGGGCTCACTTCTTTTTGTTTTATATTTGAACGATATTGAAATTTTTGTTGAATCTGAGTTCATAAACCTATTTGCTGATGCTACGTTGCTTATGTGTAGCGATATTAATTTAGATAGAGCTATTCATAAAATGGACAGGATTTTAGGAATGGTAAATGAGTATTTATGTACTAACAAATTGAAGTTGGACGTAACAAAAACAAAAGCAATGATATTCACCACGATATACAGTTCTCTAGATATCAACGGTATAAACCTCAATATCTATAATGAAAAAATTGAAGTTGTGTCATCCGTCAAATATCTTGGTTTTCAACTAGATACTTGTTTAAATTCTGACAATCACTTTAAATATATGCATAAGAAAATATCGAAAAAACTATATTTTTTCAGTAGAATAGCACAAAATTTTTCAATACAGTCCAAAGTAACAGTTTACAATACCATTATTCAATGTTTTTTATATTTCATTGTGCTAGTGTTATTATTTCACTTTGCAGTGTCGTCCTATGAGGACAATTTCAAACGAATTTATTGTATTTGTTTGAAAATGTACTTATAGGACGAAACTGCAGCAACGTTAGGTACAGAGTGGTAAGTTTTATTTCTCATTTTTCAAGATAACTTTTTTGATAAAAAAGGTTTTTGGCTTTCTACTTCTCCATATTTATACAAAAATGTGGGGAACTTCCAAAAAAGGAAGAACGCAATCAATTTCATAATAAATTCGTTACAAAGATATGTAGATCACGCATAGAAGTTACATTTAGATACAAACTAAGAAGCAGAAGGTTTGAAAATGGTTGACAGTGTTACATTGTGAATTTCATTAGTTCGGACTTCCATTGTCTAATATGATTCTACTACAAACAAATAAAATTAGAATGTTCTTTCATAGATTTCGAATCATAGTAGAAATGGAAGTCCAAACTAATGAAATTTTGAAGAAGAAGCCCTCCCGAAATAATATACTTGAATGACACGTGAATGACACGAAAGAAAAAATACTGTTCATATCAACATTGAATTATACGAAAAACACTTTTTTCTATTCTGTCCGTACTCCAAACATTCGTAATGGATCCAAAACAAGCACTTATCCCAATCACCAGAAATACAATTCTCTTCTTGACACCCGTTTCACCAACCAAGATGGCGCCTTCAGGAGAGTGCTTGTTCTGGATTTATTTTACGCCAGAGAAGTTTCAGTTTTACCGTTTATTCATTATGGAATTGAATCAGATATCATTCATATGAACCCTACACAATATAATATATGAAAGAGTAACTTCTACGCATGACCTAAACATATTTATAGAGTTTATTTTGAACATAATTTCTTTTTTTCTTTGAAAGTGTCCCACAATTGAAAGTCAAAAACCTTTACTAATCTATAAGTTTGTTATGTATCAGTCTCTTATAAAATTTTGCATTATTTGTAATTCAGAAGTGACCTAAAATAACAGATATCCTTGACAAGGTTAGTTTAAAGTATAGGAATGTTAACGAAGGCTATCTGATCTAATATTAAATGGAACTGGCCGTTACTTTATGAAAATACATATTAAAACTTACTAATACTGTATACTGTCAAATTTTCTACATAAAAGTTCAGTTCAGTTCTGAACATTTTGAAAATTGTCATCATAAATTAATTTCGGGCCAAAACATATATAAATAATAATAATAATAAAAGGGCTTTATTCATTGACATACATTGTTTATAAAGAAGTAAATACAAAAATCAATGAAAGGGCGAAGTTTTACAACTTAACCTAAGCGATAGCATGTGTTATATAGAAATATAAAAATAATTACCTAGTATACATTGGTCAGTGTAGTTCATGAATCTTTGTGAAATTAAGGAAAAAAACAAAGTTAATACATTCCAAAGTAAATATTAAAAATCTATTTAGCTTAAATAAGGTAAAATATATAGCAAAACATACACAAAAGTGAGACAAAGGAAAAACTATATGAGCAAGGCATAACATGAATTTATTATCTATCGAGAATACTTCAGATGTTTTCAAATTTTTCTTGAAATTATATATGGAGTAGTGTCTAAATTCACTTCCAGAGCGTTATATTGTTTGATAGAGTTTTAAATAAAACTACGAGAAAAGCAGGTTGTCGAGTGTTTTGGAATAATAAAACTGTGACGGTTTCGTGTCCTCGAATTATTCTGAGATTTGAAAGTTTTATATCTTTCATAAATATAATTTGGCTTTTTGTAAATGAGGAATTTATGTGTATTGACGAGTAGTTGGAACTGCCAGGATTTAGCAATTGGTAACCAACCTGACTTCTCGAACTTGGGGAATATATGGTCGAATTTTCTCACACCATAAGCAAGACGAATGCAATTTTGTAAGCGATTTACATCAGTTTGTATCAA